ATGATAATTGCCTCCCAAGCAACTTCACCGCTCTTTTAAGTGTCTGTAGCCAATCTGGTTCTCCCAAACATCCATTTATGCCCGGAGATGAGAGGCAAAACTTCTTGCAGTAGGAGTGCTGGCTGTGAAGTATTTGCCTAAAACCCTCCCACAACACTCAAAGCTGCTGCAGGGAAGTTTGCCTTTCAGGTGACACCCCAGCCTTGATTACTTAACTACCCTGATGCAAGAATAAAAATTACCTTTGTCCACGAGCAAAACTACATCAATTTAAAATAAAAGAGCGTGCCTAGGGTACCTTTTCGCCGCTCACCAGCAGAACGGCGTGCCTGAGCCGCGAGCACGGTCCCGCGCCCTGCCTGACGGGCACACGGCCGGGCCGCGCTGCCCGCGCAGGGAGCGCCGGGCCCGCGGGCGGCTCTCCCGGGCTGCCCGGGCCGGCCTCAGCGCCGGGCGGAGCGGGACACGGCGCCCGCCGGCCGGCCCGGCAGGGCAGCCAGGGCAGCCGCAGCCCTGCGCGCCGGGGAGCGGCACCGGCAGCCCCTGAGGGGCTCAGGAGCCCCGCGGCAGCGCAGGGCAGAAGTTACCGGCGGGGCCGGGGCGCTGACAGCTGCGCACTCCCCAAACCCTCCCTCCCGCCCCGGGGCAGCGGCGCGGGGGCCGTCCCGGCGCGCTACCTTGTCGCAGTAGAGCCCCACGAGCTGCTTCATGCGCCAGTGCGGGGCGGAGAACACGTCCACCTCCTCGGGGAAGGGAGCCATGTTCTCCCCATGGAGCCGCGCCGCTCCCGGCGGCGCGAACGGCGGCGCGAGCATCCGCACCGCGCGTGCGCCCGCCCCGCGTGACCGCGCCCGCCGTCCCGCGCGTGCGCGGCTGCCCCGCCCCTTCCCGCGGGGAGCGGTAGAGCCGGGCCTTGCTTGGCCGGGGTGGCTCCTGTCGGGGAATTCCCGGGCCGGGATCCGATCCCGCTCGGAGGCACAGCCTCGGTTCGTCCAAGTGAGCTGCAGTACTGCGCGACTTGAGAGCCGATGCCTTGGCAACGCCAAGGTCGCAGCTTGTGGATGTAAAAACCATTACAGAATCATTTAGGCTGGAAAAGACCTCTGAGGTCATGGAGTCCAGCCCGCAGCCCAGCACCTTGTGTACTAGAAAGTGGCACTGAGCGCCACGTCGCCTTTCCTTAAACACCTCCGGGGATGATGACTCCATCACCTCCCTGGGCAGTCCATTCCGATGTCTAATCACCCTTCCTGCGAAAAAATCCTTCCTAATGTCCAACCTAGAGCCTTCTCTGGAGCAGTTTAGGACTGGGTCTTGTCCTACTGCTATTTGCCTGGGAGAAACGACCAACCCCCAGCTGTCTCCAGGCTCCCCTCAGGTGTTTGTGGAGAGCAGTGAGGTCCCCCTTGGTCTCCTCCAGGCTGAACACCCCCAGCCCCCTCAGCTGCTCCTCGCAGGATTTGTGCTGTGTTGCCCTTCTCTGGACAGGCTCCAGCACTCAGTGTCCTTCCTGAACTGAGGGGCACAGAACTGGACACAGGGTTTGCGGCGTGACCTCATCAAGAAAGGTCCTAGGAAAGCTATTTGTATACGTTGCAGCACGGAATCTGCACGCAGCCTTTTGCAGCATTTGTGCCAAACAAGTAAAGTTAAGGATGTTTGTTTAACATTTGAGGCAAATGGACCAGAAACGCCTGCCTGTCATACTGATCTGCTTTTGCAATATTTCAAAGTAAACAGGATCACTGGGCCAAGCTGAGATTGCACATCGATTTGACAAAAGCTGTAACTGTCAACCAACATGTAGTGTTGTAAAACTGTTGACCAGCATTGCAATGTTCAGTAAATGTCACCAAAATACTTTGTCAAACACACAATAGGTGCAGCAGGCCCTTCTGACTGAAAGCTGTGCAAGGTCTATGCTGCAGGTATTAAATCTATTAGAGCTAGCAAGGTCATAGGTGTAAGCAATTAACTGTAAATATGTTGAAATATTTTCAGCAAAGTCACGTGAGTTTCTTAGTCTGGTATTTCTCAACATACTAATGTTGGAAATAAAATGCCGCTAAAAGCAGTAAATAGTGAACTAAGCAGAAGAGCTTGTGTTGTGAGCATTACTTAGCTGACACTGTGCACAATAATCATTTTATCTCTTTATCTAAGGAAATTAGTCTTAAGCAATTGCAGTACTAGGCATTTTCCATGAATCCTTTCCTCCTCAAAGGACTTTTGAACACACTGACCTACTTAGCCATATTTGCAAATATGTACAAACCTCAGAAGGTTAAATTCTTACAACTTCGGGGTGGGAAAAAAAAAAAAAAAGCAGTTACATGGGAGGGAAGAAAGGAAGGCAAAGCACAGGTGTCACACAGCTGGCTAGCCAGCACACAGCTGTGTTTACTACTTGGCAAGTGAGCAGAGCTCTGGCTTTGGTCTTGAGCATGTTTTTCACAGAGAGTGTGCCCTGGCACACAAGGAAGCAGGTGAGACCTTGTGTTACTGCTGTAGGTAGACTTATGCACTGAAGACACAAACCCTTAAGAAACAATGTTTGAAGTTCATTGCTTACAGAGGAGCTTGTGAATATCAGGTCCTATTTCAAGGCCTAAAGCATGTGGTCATAGAGAATTGAGCTTATTCTGAAATTCGTGCTTGAGTAGTAACAGAGGATTAATGTTACCATCTGTTACACCTTCCTACTGCTGGAACTTACCACTCCCATCTGATGGAAATAACAGGAGAGAACATGTTGGTTCCTCATCTTCCGGGGTTCAGAATGTAAACATATGCTGAATTTCATGGTTGTTTGGGTTAATATTCAGTTTGTGAACTACAGTATCTCCAGAGCAGGTACACTGCCAATTTTCTGACTTTTCTTCATGAGCAGTAACATCTTCTAGGAGAGAAGGGAGAGCGAGGAACAGTGATCTGCATCCACCATGAATTGCCAGACCTCAGGAGTCAAGATGGGCAGCCAGTTTGTAGCAGTTAATTACAATATTACAAGACAAATTACCTGATAAAGGGATTAAAATACTGAGTTTTCATGGACTAGAAGGGTAATGAAAATTAAGTCTAAGGGTAGACTTGGTAATTTTTTTTTACAAGAATTTACATGGAGAGATGATTCTGAGGATGGATTCTTCATGAGTGTAACAGAAAAAGATATCATGAGATTCAGTGACTGGAACTAAAAGTAGACAAGTTCAGGCCACAGCTAAGGTTTTTCTCTCAAGGCTATCAAACCACTGGAACCCTGGAATTTGTTAATTTAGCCCTCATGTGAAATATTTAGAACAAAACTAGGAATTTAAAATGGCTGTGCTGAGTCAGATAGAGACCCTTCTGGCCTGATGTTGTGTTTCCAGAAGTTGCCAGTGAGGAAAGGAAGCTTGACAGGAGTTGAAATGGGGATCCCAACAACTCTTGGATCCAGTTCCTCTGGGCTGTTTTGACAGGTTATCTGTCTGTTAGGGAAGCCACATCTTCTTCACCAAGATGCTGCATCCTAACCTAGAATGTACTTAGAGAGTATCTGTCTGTGTGACTTCTTAACTTATGCTGCATATTTTAAGCAAAAGTTCTAGCCTTAATGCAAAAATCAGTGACAATTTCTGCACATTTCTGTATAGAAGATCACATCACATTCTGGTTTCTGTTAGATTCTGAAATTACTGAGCAAAATTTGGTTGCAGCAAAGTTAATAATAACAGAAAATGTTCAGTGGCTTACATGGATATTGCACTCTCCAATGCTGAATCCAAAGTATTGGCTTGAAACATTTGATTATTGTTCTGGCGCCCTATCAGCATGGACATAGAGAGGCTAGGAAGAGAAATAGGAATAAAAAGCATTAGAGAAGCAACAGGAGTAAAGTACATAATTTCCTGTGTCTCCACCAAATCAAGCACAACATTGAATATCCATTTCTGAGTAAATCTGGCTTTCCTGAAGACTCTGCTGCAGGTAGCAAACCAATTGGATATCTTTTATCATGTTTATAGCAGAAATCCATCATCAGGAATTTACTCAACGATTAGCAAGATTTTTGTCTCAGCAAAATCCACCAGCTGACTACCAGTGCATCAGCAGAAGTGTGACACTACATAAATACGTACACAAAAAAAAAGTTATATATTCACTGACGAAGAAAGAAAGAAAGAAAGAAAGAAAGAAAGAAAGAAAGAAAGAAAGAAAAAGAGAGAGAGAGAGAGAGAGAAAGAGAAGAACTAGAGAACTAGCATGGTCCTCCAAAATGTGACTGCAAAAATATTTAGAGGTTGAATACAAAATACTTGGAGGTTGAATTTATTTTTTTAAAGAAAAAAAACCCCAGTGTGGTTGTATTTACAGCAGTGTGTACCAGAGAATATTCTGAAGATTAGATTGATTGGTGCCTTTTGATGTTCTAACAGAGTACTTAAGGGAAAAGAGCCTGGAGGAGAACGACAGCTCTTTGAAAACATGAAGACATGAAGACATTTGTTCAGTGCACAGGATGTAAGTCGTAATCCTTATATTTCTCGTTATGACTGATTCATGACTGCAAGGCAGGTTTTATTCACAAAGACATGATGCATGCATCATCACACCAAAATGCCACTGTCACTGTCCAGGGGAGAGAGGGAAAAAGAGCTGACTAATGTTACCCTGTGTGTGATTCAAGATAACTCGAGGACTTGGATATTTGCACTGTCCTTGCTGTAACTGCGTATTTTAGTTTTTGGTTTGTTTTGTTTGCAAGCGTTTTTTAATGGTCTAGGGAAGTGTAGCACAGCAACGAGTATTAAGCGAACCAAAGCCATGCTAAGTATTCAAGTGGCAAGGGGTTTTTTCCTCCCTTTACGGAGATATACTGCAATTCTCTTCAGTTATCACCAGGTGGCCTTCAAAGTTTCTCGTTTTTCTGAAGTGGGGAATAGTTTAGACACGAGGAAGTGATGTATCCCTGTGCTGCAATCGTTCCAGGAAATAGTTAGGTTATAGTTTCCAGCAAGGTTTTTTTTCCGCCTTTGTCTTGTGTACTCAGCTGTAGTTAGTACTGAAAATATTAAACGTTCAGACTGAAGGTTTCCATTTAAATTGTATCATTGAACTCTCTTTTTTTTTTTCTGTTAAGAATTTGGATTGTCAAGAATTCATGATGATGAGCCTTTTTTTTCCTCTGTTATTTGTCTCTGTTCTGTGTATGAACAGCTTCTCAGGAGTGCAGGGAAGGAAATGGAAAGGTGAAGGTACTACTCAAAACTTGGAAAGTATTGTCATTGGAAGATGCTATGATTATGTTAGAATTGTGAACCCTGCTGTTGGGTAAGTTTTGCTTGTTTCTGGATTAGTTTTTTATGTTCTGTACAAAATGGGTGTTAATCAGAAGCTTAATGTTATCTTCTAGCCACGGAAGTGATCCTTTTGAAGCCAACATGCTTGTAGCTGTCTGGAAATCAGAAAATTACTTTGATGGATATAATATTTTAAGTAAAGTAGAGTAACTGAGGCAAGACTTAATTCTTCAGTTTTTTATTTCACTTTTTTTGCCCACCCCATCTCCCCCCCCTTACTTTCTGTAAGGAGAACAACACACAGAAATGGCAGGGATGGTGTTTTGGAAGTACCAAATCTGACAGCAGTCCTGGGAAGACCAGCTTTGCCTTGCATGCCTCTAGATCAGGTCGTGTAGAAGGGGAACGCCTCACTTTACAGCTGTACTGTGGTACTGAAGGAACCTGTTTAGCTCATCCACCTGAAAAATCAAGTGCTAATCAACTGCTCTGGTGGGATTATCTGTGAGCTTCAATTGGTTGTGCTAATTATACAGAACTGGAGGTAAATCGCACACTTTGCTAAAATGAGCACTTTTCTGTCTTCCTTGCATTCATGGGCTTCACTAAAAAGGAAGAAAATAAGAAGGACAATCTCCTGGAGTTCAGCCCTTTATTCTGCCACTAAAAAGTTGTCCTACAAGTGTGAAGAGGTATTTGCAGAGGGGCCCTATCTGGATTCCTGTGGCATTGAATTGCTGTCTTAAAACAGGATTATTGCAAATATCACCTCGATTCCCCAGCCTCCCATTTTCAGTTCCTGTTGTAAAAGAGGAAGACACAGGACTTGAAACAAATTTTTCACTTTTAACAAAGGCAAAACAATATACTTCTGCACAATAATACTCTTAACCTATTAGAAGTGTTTTCTTTAAAGTTTTTTATGAAGGAAAAAAGATCATCCTAATGCAAATAACACAGTGCATGAATTTCAATGGAACAGTTAAAGCTTGGCAAATTTATAAATACGTCACAATGGAAAGTGGAAGTAAACTTTAAGTGTAGATTTCTACATTCCTACAATATATTACATGATATAAAATATGTGAACTTAGTTGTGTAGGTAGTCTGGTCATGCAGTAGGCTCTAGACAGGTAGAGCTTCTGCAGGACTTAACAGATGCCACTTCATTTATATCTAAAGCAGGACATGAATAATAATAATACAGAATATGCTAAAATGAGCAACATAAAGGACAGTTACTGTAGAAATTTGAACCGTATTGTTAACTGATTTGGACTTTTAGAGATATAAATGCAATATTCTGGAAAACATTTCTATACGTCTCATGTTTATGATAGTTTTGTGATTTACTAATTCTGGTTACATTTTCACAACATTATTTTAAAATTGAGAAGTTTGAACATATTCATCAAAGTATTCTTGCTCAGGATAGCATGAAGCCAGGCAGGACATTAGGACTACTTTCCTGAATTTAGACCAAAAATGGAATTATTAAAAGAAGAACTACACAACTGATTTCTTATAATGTGGGGATTTTTCTCTTTCCCTTAGGTCTACAAGCAAATAGTGTTATCCAAACAAAATGAAAATTTCACATTGCACAGGTCTATTGCAATATTGCAATTGTAATATCTATTGCAAAATAGATATTACAATTATTAATAGCCCTTTATGTTCATTGTCTGTTCCTTAGTTGCCCCTGGCTAGCTTTTACAGAGACATGACCACCTGGATAGGTTTTGCTTCTGAATTTATGAGCAAATTTTCTAAAAGTACTTTGCTAAATTAAAGGAAGCTTGCAAAACATGTCTTTATACTGCAAGATAGTTAAAACATAAAGATGTTTATAGGAATGTAAGAAAAACTTTCCTACGTGTTAAAACAGAATATGCAAAATGGCAATGAAAAGAGGCACTTTACAAAATGCTGTGGCCATGCAGAAGTGAGGAATTTTAATTAAGATCATATTTGACATTTCCTAACAGGAGTAGACTAAATAACACAAATGTTCCTGTAATGCTTTTCATCCATATTTGTTTGTTTGTAGTATATAATGAAAGCTTTGAAAACAATTTTTGACTAAATAGTGTGAAATTAATGTGACTTATTAGTGTCGACTAAGATTAGAAGGAATTGTCCTGAAGCAGTCCTTTCCTACCCTGTAGTTTCAAAAAGTGGTTTTGCCAGCTAAGAAGTTTTGAGTATCAGAGCAGAATAATCCTTTTGATTTACAAGCTGTTCAAAACTGGTGAGAAGTCATGAAAAAAAAAAAAAAAGCAATATGTGAGTTAACCAGAAAATTACTGATGGATGAACCTGTCAAGAAAGATCTTAAAAGTTCGGTTGATCATAACCCACAAGTACTAATGTAAGTGCTTCAAGTAGAAAGCTCTTTAGCAAAATGAGACCTAAGTATATACAATTGTCAGAAGCCAAAGTATAACAGCTTGAAATCAGAAATAGAGTCCAAATTCTTTTATTAAGTAAATCTGTTTAAACCTTGAAACTACTGATCAAGGATCATATTGCATCACTGAAAATTTTCAGGTCAAGATCCATATCTGCTTACAGTATGTAGGGAATATTTTACATAGTTGTTGAAAGCATGACCAGAGATTTCTGTAAGAAAATCTGTGGTCTGTTTCCTGCATAGTTCATCACAAGGGCTGAAGGCATCTGTCACCATCATTATGTCAAAATAGGACATGAGATGAATGACACACACTCTGAAACCTTCAAGGTAAAAAGAAGGAAGTTTATTTCTCGACCTCTATATATATAGAATTCAAAAAGTGACCCTGGATTGGAGGATGAAATTGCCACCTCTCTAATGACACTGGTCAAACCAACAGTCCATCAAATTTCTCCTCCTCCCGAAAGGAATGCAAAAACAATCATTATTTACATAAAAATGTGTGAGAGCTCCATTACAAAAATGTAAACATCAGAAAGCTTAGAAGAACTTTGAAGAACAGGGCAACAATCATTACCATCAAAGCTTTTTAGCAACTGGTCCTGCATTTGAATCTGAAATTTTAAGAGTAGTATTGCATTCCAGAAGCATTGGATATTTAGCTATGGTTTATTTGAAATGAATTTGAATAATTTGAAATTACTTTTTGAATCTGGAAAATTTCAGATAAAGCTTTTCCTTCAGTATTTCTACAGTGTTGAATAGCAAACTCACTGTGTATACCATACCTACTAAGATTTTTATTGAATCATAATGTGTTTCTAATTCCACACTGTAAATGCTAATATTTTCCTTGCTACTACTTCCTTATGTGCTGCAGTTATGACTCAGAAAATATCTCTATGGTCTTCCTGAGCAACAAGTGTTTTACCACCCTGACTTCAGTTTTCTGCCTTAGCCTTATACAGATTTTAATTGGGGTATTTGAAGGAGTTGGGAACAAATATCTTTCTTGCTCAGCTTTGAAAAAACAATTTTGCTATTTGTTTGTTTCAATGATTACAGTGAGAAGAATTGTTCACAGATATGGGAAGCATTTAAAAATGCATTTATTAACAAGGATCCTTGCAGCATTGTACCTAAGGATTATGAATTATTTATCAACCTCACATTACACACGATTCCACCTAACAAGGTAATAATTTTTTATGTTAATTGCCCTGTGACATACAACAGATTTTACATGACACAGTTCAAAATTGACGAGTCATTCTGTAACTGATTTGTGAGTCACTCTTTTTTACTGCTCTGGAGTTTATAAACTGGACTCTGTAGTTTATAAACTAGACTCAGGCTTGATAGCATGTTTCCATGTGTTTGGCTCCATTTATTTTATGCAGTAACTTCTCAGCAATGTCTCTCTTCTCATACTACAGAGATCCCCCATTTTTCCAGTTGTACTGGGAGCTTTGCCATAGTTCCTGAACTTCCACTTCTGCTTTTCCTTAAGTTAGGTGCTCTGGCTGCAAATGCTGTGCCTGCTATCACTTTTTGCTTTTACTCCTCACAGCTAAGTCTCATGGCAGTGCCATGTTAAACATTGACACGCTGAACAAGCAAAAGCAGAAATGAGAGAGGACGTTGTTCTGTGCCAGAGGACAGTAAGGGTTTGGTGTGCTGGCAGTTGCAAAGAACCATGGAAGTACAAAAGACGTGTTGTGCTTTAATACAGTTTTTCCTCTAGCACAATTATTCCTCATTTCTAAATGATACAAGCTAAACCAACAAATACTACTGTCAACATGGCTTAATTCATGAGGAGTTCTACAAACACAGAAATAACATCTAGACATATGGGGTTTTTTCACACCATGAGCCAACATAGCAATGAGAGATTTCTGGTAGTATATATCTGGCTTATAAATATCTTCCTTTTCTCTTCTTCCCCTAAATCTGTCTGCTAAGGCAGGCAAAGCTAGGCCTAACTATATTTAAAATAGGACTATATCCCTTCTCATCAAACTACTACTGTTCTTCAAGTCACTTTTGATCAGAATTTATACCTCTGGAAAATTAAAAATCTTTGTTCCTTTAAAGGGATGGCTAACATTTCTGGTTATTAGCTTGATTTTGAAAGAAATACCAAAACATGTTTTCAACTGTTTTCATACCCCATAATGTCACTGTGTCCGCACCCAAGTGTTGGTACATTTCTTCTCTATGTTTTTTTTCCTAGTCTCTTTTCTGGGAAAATAATCAGCTACTAGTCAATAGCTTTGCTGACAGAGGACGTCGCTACATGTCTGTGGGTGATACTCTGTTTGGCTTCGTTGGAGATTTTCTGAACTGGTGTGGGCAGGCAGACAGCCCTGGTAAGACAATGAGGGCTATGCTAATTATCTGTATAACCACAATGGAGACCAGTACTGTGTCCTGGAGAAACCAAATTTGCTCTTACCTCATGAAAAATCAGGGATAGCTTCACTGTCTTGTTCTCTCTTGTATCATGTGAATATTTAACACTGCAGTCAGGGAAGCACACAGTGAAATCTAAATGGTCCTGCAGTGGGGGTAAACCTCTTTCTCAGTCTTCTGAACCTGGAGCTCCCTGCATCCCAGGAACAGAGTTAGGACCATTTCAGCCAAATTACTGAATCCTCAGAATGTCACCGTTTGTGTAAACTACAAAGGATGGAAAAATATTGAAAAAATACAACAACTTTTAGTGCTATGTCAAACACAGGTTGTGGGTTCAGTGAGTAATGCACAAATATATTTAGTTGCTTGCTAAATTCGCTTTTTATAGTCATTATCATCTGTCTAATAGCACAAATCACATGCCTTCCCACAGACCTGGACTATGAATCCTGCCCTACCATGACGGAGTGTGAAAACAATGCAGTGGATTCTTTTTGGAGGATGGCCTCAATCACTGTAAATATTTTATTAGTGCTGACTGCATACATCTGCGAGTGTGTCCAGGGTGCTTCAGGAATTGCTATTTCAAAACAGATTTAAACCTGTAACTCTACTGGATTATTTCCCCTGATACAAATACATTGTTTTAGACTAGCTGCAGTGTTTTAGCAAGGAGAACTTAACATTCACCTTAGCTAGATAACGTGTTAAAATTCTGTTAGCTTTGTTAATAAAAACCATATACTAAGCACAGTAAGTACACTGACTGTCTACTGATTACAGGTCCTAATTGGACAGCCTTGCTGAAAACACTTTACTTACATATCAAACTCAACAGAGAATGCTAAAATGCTTTCTTCTTGTGCTGAAGAATACTTATAAATGTGAGAAAATAGCTTGAGAAGAATCATTGAATTAAACCATGGCCTGTTTTGTTCCTGTCCTTTTTACTTCAGTGACCTGCTAGGGTGCCTGTCTAGTATTATTTTTGCAGTTCTGATAGTCTTCATGGTAAAATTCTTTCCTTGGTTACTGTTGTTTGCAGTAAAATAACAAGTTACATGACAAACCTGTGAGATCTGAAAAGCATTGTTATCTATTGCAGTATGCACGGCACAGCTCGGGGGTGATACAAGTCTTGCTGAATGGTTCTGCAGAGGGAGGAGCTTATCCACAGCCAGGGTAAGAGAACTGACTGATTTCTGTGTAAGACTGTGTGGTGTGATTTTCTGTGTAGAGTTTGGATGGCTACAAAAAAGAAAAGCCAACCAATTATTTGGGTCTTCTGCTGCACAAAGCATGGGAAGTGTAGCTGAAAGGACCTGTTTCATCAAAGTCTTCTGAGTTGTGGGGACAACTGTTAATTGTCCCTAGGTGAAGGATTAATACATAGTGGATGGGAACAATCCTTTCAACTCCTGCATTTTACAAACTGCTGTGGCAAGCACAGTGAATGCTCTGGTAAAATGTGTATATCTTCAAAAAGATGAATGTTAACAAAATTTCTCCTCAGGGACATATCCAAATAGAGGATATTGTTCCAAGGAGTGTAGCTTTTGTCATGCCTACCAGCAAACTTGGTAAGTTCTAAAGGGAAAGTATGTATTTCTCCATGACCAAGAGTGGATGTAGTTTGAGGTCTATTATTGTTTCAGAAAGCAAAAAAATAATTGTTGAGGAGAATAATAGCAAAGATGAGATTCCTCTCCTTCTTAGTTCCTTTTATATTAAGGACAGGTGTATTTTTCCTGATTCAGAGGTGTACCACCATGCAGAAGCTCATCTAAGCTTACATTCAAAATTTATTGTAAAAGTACACCCTTTAGAACTTTTACTATGTGTCTGTAGTGACTGCTTACCTGTGGTAAGAAATGCATCCTTCATTACCTCAGCCACTGTCCTGTCCAAGGCAGATCAAAAATTACATCTTTTAAAGACCCATAGAAGACATCCTCCTCCTGTGTATTCACTGAGGACTAAAAATTGCCTAAGAAAAGGCAATTTTATCTTCGGATAAGAGAGAGACAAGAACCATCTTTTCTAAAATACCTCCTGACTACTTACCTCTGTCCCCCAAAATATCTCTGTACACAGCTTTCAGCTAATCACAAAGACGTAAACACTCTCTTTGCGTTGGTCAAATGGTCAGTTGGGATCAAATCTTCTGCAGATGGTAATACCTGGCAGCAGGCCAATACCCTGAATCTGTTATAGATTCCTTATTTTAGAAATTGATTCCTTATTTCTGTTAATTTACAGATTCCTTATTTCAAAAACATCTCACACACACATTAATTCCACCAGTTCCCTGGGTTGCCAGTCTGGTGGTATTTTAACCAGTGAAATCACCACTAGATCTCAGCCTGCCAAGGAGAAAACAAAGCCAGTTACTCCATCTGTTTTCTTTACTGTGTGTCTTCTGGTCCATTTATGACTGAATTTGTTTAAGAGATCATGTTTGAAAAAAGTTGGAAGGTGAATAATTAATAGCAGAAAGTAATCTGAAAGATCTGCCTGTCTTCCTAACCAGATCTCTGGTCTCTTTACAAGTATTTCAAAGCCCCTTTCAAAGTTTATTAGGTTTTAAAGTTTGTGCACTTAAATCATCATTAAGTCACCTGATATAATTTCAGTTAAGATTTATTTCTCATTTCATGGCAAAATAACTTTGCTCATTCACACAGTATGAATTTAGGTGGCAGATTTCTTTAATAATAGAAGCCAGTTCAAAAATTGGTTTTACTGAAGTCAGTTGTACATTGTTCCTCCACAGTTTCTGACATCTCTAGTTAAAGATTTCTCCAAATCTGGGAGCAAGCTTTTTTTTTTTTTTCCTGGCAATAGAATATGCATGACTGAGTAAATGAGTTGTAATCTTTATTTTTTGTTATATTTTCACTGTGTATTGGACAGGCTTGGACGCCTTGGACAGAAAGGCAAACCTGCTGTTGCTGCTACTGGTCTTTGGTCAGCTACCACCATACCAGACTGGACCAGAGAAAGCAGCTCTTGGTATCTGTCCTCCTGTTCCACTTCTCCAAAAATTTAAAATAATTTTCTGACTTCATGAACCAACAGACTGGCAAGCAGCACATGTCCTGTGCTTGCATGGCAGAGCATGAAGGCCCCGGGAGGACAGACCCACATTGTCACTGCTGGTCCCACCCATGAAGTGGCAACTAATGGTCTCTTCTTCTGTGTGGAGATCTCAGAACATATAAAAGGGCTTGGAGACACTGTAGTGCTGATACAGACATTTAAGAAGACACATGATAGGCAAATAGCAAGTCAGAGGAGAGACCAAGGCCCAGACTTGGACCAGGCATTCAGTGAGGACACAGCCCTTACAAGCTTTCTGAGTGAAAAAACCCCTAAAAGATTGGAAATCATTACACTACATCTTGCTAAAAAGGTTAGAAATCTATGGCTTTGAAATGTCAGCATCTCACAAAAAAAAAAGAAAAAATCAATCTAGAGACATTAAAATCAACCTTTGGATTTAATATCTTCTTAGATTAGATATTATGAGGAAGTATCAAAGGCTTTTGGATTTGTTTTTGCATTTTTAAAAGTTCATTTTTGTTCACTTTTAGGTGAATTAATTAATACAGAGGAGGAAAGGGACTATTTAATTTTCATGTTCTTTATAGTTCAGTTTTTTTTGTTGAATCAGCTTCTTTGCAGATTATGAAATACCTAATTTCCAGAAAGACAAAATCTCACAAGTTGTCATTTGGGTTGTGGATGATATTGGAGGACCAGATAGGTAAGTTATGTCTTCAAAATAAAAACGAGTTTCTCCCTTTTGGACCTGTCTTTAAAATTTCACCTTATCTTTCTGTTTGATTATATTTACATACTACTTAAAATATTTTAGATGCTTTCATGAACACAGGACACACAACCTGCCATTCTCAGAGAGTAGAGAAATACCAGAATTAGAGAAAATATAAATAAATTCTAATACTAGATCTGGAGCCAACTCTTGGTTAGATGTGTGTGTGGGTTTCAGACCCTGAATGAAGACAGAGCATGAACAGTTTTTCTAAAAGTCAGTCTGAATTTCAGATTAAGTGCTGATGAGTAGTAGTTCTTTCACCTTGCCATATGCATTCTTTTCATTTTCACCTATCTTAACTGTTTGAAAATTTGTAGAAGTGGGCAAATACCAACTGATGGCTCTTTTCCTCTCAATAATTAATCCAGTAATAAAATGTAGGCTTTAAAAGTGTCTAATTTTGGTAATTTAAATAAAGCAAACAAACAAATAAGTAATAAACAAATATAACAAAACTGATCAGTCCAAACAGTTTGGGCTGTCTGTTGTGTATTTTACCACAATGCTGTGGAGTCTACATAGCATAGTTCAGATTAGCATTTTTCAGCCTGTCTCTCTAAATCAAAGAATCATACCCTCTTGGAGGGAAAAAGCATACAACTAATCTTTGCAAAAGTTGCCCTTTTTACAAAGAAAAGCTAAGACAAGCACTGAATCATAATTTATGTTTCAGTAAATGGATGCATGGGAATAATTGTATATTTTTATTAATTGTTTTCTACAGTTACTTTGTTGGTGTCCATATGATTTCTTTAGTCATGGGTGTTTACCCTGACCAGCAGATAAGCAGCACTGGCCTTAATACTTTATGCTGGTACAAGTTTAGAGTCTCAGTAGATTCTGTAAACCTTCTTACACTAATTGGACTACAAATTAAAAAATCAGTGCTAGAAACAGGAGCTGTGCTTAGGATTGTTTCTGAGGTTTTTCTCTCTGTATTTTTCTATTATTCAATATTCAATAGGGAGAACAAGCTTCTAACAACAAGTATAATTCTTATTTATTATAACTCACTTATTCTGTAAATACAGATGGCATCAACTTTACCTAAATAGTTGCCAAAGAATATTACAAACAAAACACTTACTGTTTTACAAAATTATTTAGGTCTTTTTCTGTCTAATCAAATATTAAATGTGGGATTATTAGTGAATAGAATCTGAAAATGCTACACTGACAGAAGCTAATCTTCCAGACTCTGTAAACTGTAAAAGGATAAATTATGAAACAACAGTAATGTAAGCAAATGAAGCATGAAGAGCAATGTACACCATTCTTCTGAAGGTGTTATGGAATACAGAAGAGGCAAAGTAGTGGGGATTTATTTTACTAATTCCATCAAGTTCAGTGAAAAGAAATTATATAACAAAAGATTTGCAATAATATTGAAATCCTTCCTCACAGAGATTCCTGTGGAACTAATAGTGTAAAGACATTAGAAACCAGGCTGAAAACTCTTGGTTTTGATGTCACTTGCACTGACAATTACAAGTAAGTGAAAACCTTTTATTATTATGCTGGATTTGCAGAAGCACCCTTATCTATTTTGATTCTTACTGTGCAATACTGAAGTGCCATTAATGTTGTGTCTTCAGAAGGGATGATGTCACATTTTTCAGACTTGTAATTTTCTGGTTGTTTATTGAGCAAAATGCTACGACTTATTGTATGATTGAGTGGAACATTTTACTTACTCAATGTCAGAAAAGATGGCCTCCTGTACTTGGATTTAAAATCTAAGCAATAGTTAAAAACACTATTGAATGTCTGCAGAATTGCCAGTTATTCACAACAGGTTTCACAGCTCTAGTCATTCCCATAGATTGTAAGATAAATTTAATGAAGGGAAGATTTAAACATGATAGTACTGTGAATTTGTTTCATTTTTTCATGGTTTTTTTTCTCAGTTGTCTGCCTGAAAGGTGCTAAATAAGATAGTATTTTCACAGGTCTGTAATGTTCTTACTCTGCCTGGATAATCCTGATGATTCTAAGTGTGCCCTTGCATCGTAAGTAAAAGAAGTTCAACCTATCCCAGTGTCATTACAACTGAATAAATTAAGCAGAAGTCAACAGATCCCACCTCTACCACCTATTGTATATTCTCCATATGCAATACACAGTGGTCTTGAATTTGTTAGTTACTGTGGATTGAATTAGCAGTTTCTATTCACAAATTGTGCAGAGCTGTCTGTGAGCACCTGCTGTTCAAAATTAGGTGTTAATGGCTTCTCATTGATCACACAATAACACTGTATATCACTGATGATGTGAACTTTGTACATATCACTGTTCTGATATAAAATCTATTACAAATTTGAAGTTGCTTTCATTGATATAATTTCTTGAATAATCAAAGTATAGATCAAATGGCAACAGATCTAAAGCACATTTCTCCAACTACTGGAATTTTCAGTTCTAAATTTTGAGGAAGTTTTCTTTTGATCTTCCATTTTGTGTGAGACTTAATCTCTGTATTTTGGTGTATTTACCTTGGGCCAGTGAGTTATCTACAAAGAATGCAGATTACATCCAAGACATAACTTCTTAACTAGCAAGCATTGCTCCCAAACTCCCTACTTATCCATATTTATCTATATTATATGAGGAGCATTAAATTATTATGTATTTCAGTGAATTTACAGTAAAGATTACTGTTTTCAGTTTTTACTATGTTTCATAATCTATATGCTGTTGCATATATAGGTACACATGAGATACTTGAACATCTGAATGAGAACTTCCTCACTGTTTGGAATGCTGTAGAGTATATCGATACATAAACACTGTTTTGTGGTTATATTCCTCTTATGGATAATCCATGCTTTATTTCTTACTGTCCTTTCTTCCCTATTCAAGCACGTGCAAATTTTTGTTTGTTAATACCTGTGTGATATTGCAATGATAACTTCTGCTATGAAGGTCCTGATTTGCTGTCCCTGGTTATGGCAGCAGAGAGGTGCAACCCCAGCTTGCCTGCCTCTGGGAGGGGCTGTAGTGCTTCATGCAGTGCAGAAAAGGAGGTGGATATCACCTTCTCTAACATGTGTCCAGTTTTTGGTACATTCTTACAAAGTGAGTATTCCCTCTTCTTGCTGGTTACTGAAATCTTTTACTCGCCTTGCAATGCAACATCTATTTTTGCATGCAAATTATATCCTAGCACCAGCATATAAATGTTATGAAAATGGTGGGTTTATAAATACCACTGATAGCTCCAGACCTCTAGGCAGTAGGTCATAGAAGAGACTTCCTGTTAGGGCTTTGATTGGTTACAAAATGCCACTTGCACTGTGGATTAAAATAGGGTTTCCTTGTTCTGCAACTGAATAGTCACCCCAGGACAATGTGTCAAATGAAAATACAGTTATCCCCTTTAAAATAATAGCTGTGAACATAGTGACAATATTAACAAACTGGAAGAAAAAGCACAGAACTTTGAAAAATATAATATTTTATTGAGCTCATGACAAAAGATTTTTCTCCTCTCCCAGGTTTTAAATAATTTTCCTCAAAGTTTTGTAATGTGTGTGTGTTACTCAGCTGAGGGAACCTGGATGAGAAGGTTTTTGGAAACCATTAATGTGTTTTTCCTTTCAGCTAGGGATGAGCCTGCAGTTCTGCAGTATTGCCGCATGGCGTTTGCAGTGTGTAAGCAGGGAAGCAGCCGCCCCTTCCTTCCCATCCATGTCGGTACTTAAAGTAACATAATCCCTGGTGCGCTTGAAACACCAGTCTCACACTCTTCTGGGGTAACTCCAGAGCTACTCAACTGTTCTCATCCTCCTTAGGAAAAGTTTCCTTGCTTGTTTCCTTCATGAGCACTCTATTCCATCCTCTGTGCATGGCACTGTAATAAGTTTGGGATATATAAGTTAATTTCTTATATATCCCAAATCACAATAGAGCTTCCCAATCTGAATGCAAAACTATCATTTCCTCTCCCTGAAATTTAAGTAATTTAAACACTATAAGCCAATGAATACTTACATTCTTCCCAGAATCACTCAATTCTCTGCAGTAAATAACACCACCTCCATAGAAAGTAGCTCCCTTTTCAGAAGGAGCCTTAGGCAGATCTTAGGCAGATGCATATAAATGATTTGATGATTACCTTCTTAGGTACGTTTTCTGTGTTCTGTGATGGTCCATTAACTGACCGGGGGCTGGTCAGTAGGGGTGTCACTGTTGGAGTGGGTATCTGTTAGGAAAAGTTTCCGTTGCGGAGTAGGTGCTGTCAGTGTTCATACTTCCATAGTAAACAGAGGAACAGGCGTGCAGGGGCTCATGCATCCCCTTTCACCAGGGCTGCTTGCTATTACAAGGCTGATAGCAAAGGCCCTCTCAGCCTCCAGAGAATAATGTCCTGAGCCCAAAAGCATCAGAGTTGGACAAGTAATGACTTTTTATGTCACCACAACTCCCGTTACATGGGCATAGTACAGGAGAGAGCTGGGCCAGGGTAGCAGAAGGACGGCCTAGAAGGTGCTGTAATGTACCTGGGGTTCTTGTGTGGTGGTGGTGCCCCTTAACTCCTCTCCAGACTTGAACGATGTTCCTGCTCAGTCAAATTTGGACTTCAGCTGAAGCTTAAGGTGACACCCTGACATTAGAATAAACTTGTGAGTAAAAAATACCCACTAGATGGCAGAGATGGCTCACGAATGTAAGCAGGAAGGAAGCCAGATGCAAGCTGTTAGTGGTGGCATGGATTACTTGCATTATTGCAATGTCAGGGAGAAACAGAAGTGGATCTGGGTACTATTGCAGAGTGCTGTGAAAATACACTCCTCCAGGACCACTGCTGTCTAGAAGAGCACTATAAAATCACAAGCATAAGGCCAGAGACAGCAAATGGATGTAGAGAAACAAGAAGGCACTTGTGTGAATGTAGAAAGAAGAGTTCCCAGGGTTTTGCAAAGATATTCTGTTTATAGAAACATGACAGCCAAAGGGAATCTGTTGGCAGGCTCATATAAAGAAACTTCTAGCTTAGCACTTGTGCCACAAACTTCACCCTTGGCAACAAACCCCTGATATTTAAAAGAATCCTAACTCAGCTCTGTGCTGTGAACATCCTGTTTGTTTTCTCTTCTTCAGATCTGCACCAGCAGCACAAAGAGGACCTATATCTTCAGACAGAGGAGGCAGCTGGAACAAGCTCATGTTTGTTTCTTTTGCAGGCTTTTTGTTCAGATTTGCTTTAGTGTACTGAGTTAATCAACTGAATCCATATCCTCTGTTTGACTTAGCTGGCTATAAATTTTGCTTCAGCTGATTTCTAACTGCAGTTTCTTCCTGCTTTTGGGACTGCAAAACCTGCATATTAAAACCTTGCATACTAGATACTGGCTTGTTTTAGTATCAAAAATGATCCCATTGCTGCTAGAAAGCCTCATCTTTCATTTTCTTTTTCTAGAAGTTCATTGCTATTTCCTCCTATCTTTATTCTCCAGTATTAAACCAAGAAAAATACTTCCTGCTCACATGTTCACATATTTCAGAAAGAAAAATTATACTAAGCATACATCAACCACAGAGATTATTTGTGAAACCATTCTAGCATCTGACCTTGGAAACTAAGTGACTCATTATTGTGTTTGGAAAGGTGAAACATAAATTCAAGTGGAAGAGATCTTAGATTGCTCACTTGATACAAGATGCAATAGGTAAGACAGTGGGAAAGTAAACTCATTTTTATAAGTGTTCCAGTACTTGGGCCAAACTTAAATACTAGGGTACAGCAAGATTCTGGGTGCATACTTGCATACAGTATTTTACCACATAATATCAATTGTTTCATCATCCCCACAGCTGTTCCTCAGCTGGCTGTTTCCTGGCCACTGGATAGCAAATAGTCAGAAATACCAGGTCTAGAAAGTTCCACAGTTTTTCCACCACAATGTGATTTATGGTATATCAAATTCAGATAAGAACCTGCCAAGTCAGACACTGGCCTGCTTGCAGTGAACTCGGATACAGGGTTCAGAACACACTGAGGAGACAGCAGATGCCATCCTGGAGGTTTCTTGGGTTACTTGTGTGAATTCCAGTGCTTCAGCTAGAGGCTTCTCTAAACCACCAGGACATCCAGTTACTAAGATGACACATAAATCTTCAGAAAAAAAGTAGTCATTCTACAGAGAATAATTGTACGTAGCTATTTTTTTGCACATTTTGTGTTACCTCCTGTATTATTTATTTGTGTTTGTATTGACTGGTTGCCAGGAATCTTGGAGAGGATGTTCCTGTTATCTCAGTGAATCTGATTTAAGCGTCCATAGTAGATTTACATCCTTTCAATCCCTGATGCAACTGTGTCATGTTGTATGTTTGAAAGATAAAGTATTTAAAATGTGTTGTAGTTGCTTATCGTCTTGTTTCCCTGCCTGTAATAATCTTTAATTTGGTTTTAATGCAGATCTGTTTACATTGCACACGTATTTGGGTTTGCCTACATCACAGGTGGGTGTAGGCTCCAGCCTGAAGGATTTTTGTATCTGTTTCAGACACAAAAACGTACTGAAAATACAGAAGTACTGAAATCAGAAGTTACAGACCTTTAAAAATCTGGGCTGTGTTATGCCTCAAAATTGTTCCCTATCTGTGCTGTAACTTTAGTTCTTTGATTAGTTCTTTGAACATCCTGTTCATTTTTTGTTTTGTTTCATGAATTATTGTTTACAGCAGCCACCAGAGTAGTAAGAAAGGTATCTGTCACACCTCACAGCCAAAGGTATCTGAGCCACATCTCAGATAGCTAAAGCCAAGCAATTGTGATCCATCTTCTGTTTGCCCACATCAGGTCTAGATGCAGCACATTTTGGGCCACAGGCTGCAGAGACAGTGTGTGAGAGGCTCCCAGGTGTCCCAGCCATCATCAGGGCTGGTGTGTGCTACCTGCTGACCTGTGTGTGAGATCCAGAGAACAGCTCAATACCATTCACCAGCCACGAGCCTCTTAGCCAACTTCCAGCCACAAGCTAAGCATCCCAGCTGGCCAACTTCTGCTTTCCAGCCTCTGCATGTAATTGATTCCAGCAGCACAGTCAGTGTTTGGCACATGGTACCAAACACTCTGTAGAAAGTGCTAAATAATTCTGTTTTGAAAAAAAATATAAAATATTAAGTAGGATAACTTCAGTTGAAACAATTGAGATTATTTAATGCATAGCCTTATGTCAAAAACAACACACTCAGAACCTCTTGCGGTGTTTTCTTATTTCTAATGTTCTTTCCTCTTTTCCCATTACTTCAACTCAGTAGCAATGACAGCAATTTCTTTTTTAATACCTGTTCAATAAAGTGTCTCAAACTTGCTTAAAAAACTTGGGAAGATCTGTAAAGATAACAGCTAATATAACTAGTAAAAAAAATCAACAGGGCAAAGGTCTAGATGCATAGGTTTCCTGAGACTTTTAGAGGCAGCAAATTTCAAGCTGAGTGTGAATTGTTTGTTCTGAGTTTAACATAATGGTTTTAATCTGCAAAAGAGCAGTGTGACTGGCGCCTCGGAAGCTGAGGGGCAGGAGTGTCAGCAAAGCAAGAAACAATGAGGTTATTTGTTACTCCCAGAGGGAGGGAGAGACATGAACATGCCTTTTTTTTAATTTCTACATCTATAAGAATATGAATAGCACTATTTACAGATATGTGTTACACTGAAGTAGTGACTGTCAGCGCACTATTTACAGATATGTGTTACACTGTGACAGGTGAGCCTGTGCTATGTCTTGAACACTCTGAAAATGTGAAAATGCTCTGATTAGCAATGTCTAATGTAAGAGCTGTGCCAAATGTGGAGAAATCATACTGTCCAAAAGGCATCTGCCCTTTTCCTTAAACTCATTCAAACCTGGGTATGTTCACAAATATAGATTCAAAATGTTTCAACCATTCATATTTGTACTAGGAGTAGTACAAAAACAGCTGTCCCAGATGTGAATTTGAAGGAGAAAATGTTTCAGATGAAACAATATGTATATCACTTAATATTGAGTCCTGTTGGATGCCAAAATCCTGTGTAAATCTATTCATATCCAATTACTTGTGGCAAATGAAAACATCATGTGCAGGAGCATTACAAGGTTTTCTGCATTTCTGCAGACAGACCTGTGGAAGCTACTGAGACTAAAGCAGTATTTCCTGCTGTGCCCATTTTGTGGACCACATAAGAACTCAGTTATCTCACATTCTTCATTCCTGTATATAAATTAATACACACTTCCCTCCCACTAACCTACTTTTTCTTTTTGCTACATGCATTTCAGTCATTGTATCTGAATATAAGCTGAACTCTAATTCAGAGTAGTTCCTTTTTCCAGCATGTATGTGCATGCACACTTATACATCTGCTCACACCTGCTCTGCCTATTTTTAAATGCAAAGTCCTGAGTGCTCTGGAGTAAAAAGTTATGAGAATAAAGCGAGGACAACTTGATCACCTCTCTGCCCTTTTTATACTGCCGGTGTTTATTTTTGTCATATTGGTCTCGATGTGATATTCAGCTGACATGACTATGTTTTCAATCAACAATTTTAAGTGTAGTGAAATGTGACCTGAAACCTCAAGAATTTGAACAATATTTTTGTTCCATGAAAGCTAACTCTTTTTATAGTGTTCTTCAACTGAATTACCTAGAAATAATTCTGATGTATTTTGCTTCAACAATAGTGTGAAGTGGAAGAAGAATGCTTTTAGCAGAGCCAAGAAGTTTGGTTTAAAATAGCTCAGTATGGGGAGGCACAGAATCTTAATTTAGCCAAATGTCAGGGTGGCTCAAACACTTCACAAGTTCTTTTTGATTTTCAGGTTTTTCCTAATTCCAGCTTCTGCCCAGTCTAAATTTACATGCAATTTTATATAAGAGGCAAAGAATATAATCTGTCAGATTTTGTAAACAATCTACAGGCATCTGATTTCCTAGCTTCCTGAGAATTACGAGGGCAAGCTCAGAGATCCTCATTCCCTTAGGGCAGCAGCGCAGCTGCAGTGCAGGCTGGCAGGGAGACTGCTGCAGGAAATTGGAGCCTGGGAGGGTGGCACGTATGTCCCCTCACCCTGTGCCAGAGGGCCCGTGCTGCCTGGCAGGCCCCCTCCTGCTGCCTTCTCCCTGTCCCTGCAGCTAAGGTGAGCCTGACTTCCGTTCAGATGAGTTACTTTGTATTTTTAGCAGAATGTGTGAGCAGAAAATGATGCTGTTGGAAATTCTGTAAGAGGAAAACAAAGGTGGAAATTATAGTATACATTTCCTTCCAGCAGCAGGCAGTGCTGTGGAAGTGATGTAAGTGATCTCTCACTTGTGGCCATCTGACTAGGAATACCTGTGGGCTGTAGAAGCAGTAAGTGTAGTAAATTCCATAAGTGCAGACAGAGATGATCCTCCAGAATTCCTCCAGTATGCCTGGAGTATCTTATGCCCTTAGTTGCAATACTTAATAAATAATTAACAAAGAATCTAAGTACCATAGGCAGAAACCAGAATTATAAGTCAAGACTGTGGTGAATTCTGGGTTACCAAACTGCAGGAAGATCTTTTATTTTTTCCCTATTTGCAGCTGGTAAAGTCAAGAATCCTAAAGAAATGACAGGCACCCTATCTGCTACACTGTGTCAAGGTACAGATGTGGAAAAGATCCTAGGTCACTTTGTGCCATTCTGAAGAGCAGCAAGCATAGACTAAAATTAATAAAAATAAACATCTCATGGAAATTTTAATCTTCTGATACCAAATTCCAACTGTACTAAATGCAGGTCTGTGTTGAGTTCATTTTTGCTTATCCCTTTGCTTTGATGAAAGGTACCAGAAGATCCAGAGCTGGTATTTTCACAACTCAGAATGTATGCTCTGGGCTTTCACCCAGAACTTTCTGTCACCACCGCACATTAGCATGGGGTTATATGACATATGTCACTTGACATATATCACTTCAAAAGCAGTTAAGGACAGTAAGCATAACCAATACTCTTGTAAAATGCAGCATCAAATCCCAGACAAATATTTCTACACATATATACAAATGCATATTTTACATAGCTGTCAACTAGACAAGATCTTTGTTAAGTTTTTTGGTTTTTGACCTTTGAGCCATCACATAAAGCCTTTACAAGTGGCATACCTACCCTATATAGTTCTTTTAGGAGTAATTGTGCTATTTACGCACTCCTGGAGTTGAAGAGCCTAATTCTGTATCAACTTTGTTCCCTTGGCTGCCTCAGTGGGATGGGAGCCTTATGGGTATTTCTCTTCAGAATGTGTGAGCAGCATAACAATTAGTACTGGCTAGAAAACAAGCACTCAGTTTCATGAAAGTTGGTGAGATTACTGCGTGTGCTTTTTCTCTGCACCAAATTAAACCTTGAAAAATGCTTTGCACAAGAAAAGCACAGCAACCTCATCAGAAATCATGGTAAGATCCCTCACTGATAGGATGTAGCTTTGGTACAGCTTTCACTTACTTGCAAACTCAACTGTCACAGCTGTTTAATTTTTTTTATAAATTAAATATGTCTTGAGTAAAAAACACTTTCTTCATATCCTGATTCAAGTAGAATGAATGAGTCATTAAACTTGGGCCTCCCACTCTTCAGAGCTGTACTTTAAACAATATACTTTGGAATGTGTTTTTCTAGTTTGCCAAGGACATCATTTTCTGACATGTATAATAGAAAGGCATAACAAAAAGTGGTGAAGAGGATACAAAAGAATGAAGCAACCTGTTTCCCCAAACTGTTCTGGAGCTACTCCACATCCCTCTCCACCAGAGCAGTGTGCTGGTATGTTGGAGATCTCTTGGCATATTGCCTCGTTCCTTGGCAAAATCAATGTGCAAACCCCAGCTGTGACTTTGTTTTGTTACAAACCCAGCACTTTGGCTAAAGAAAAAAGGAATTGGGAATTACAAAATACAAGAAGCAGCACTGGTGGCAGCAGGAAATTCTTCAGGAACAGCAAAGATCAGGATGCACCTGTAGAATTGCCAGGCTCTCCAAGAGAAGGGGAAGGAGCAGATGGGATGACACTGAAGAGATCCAGCAGGGAAAACAAGCACAGAGATGGGAGGAAGGCACGTGATCCAAAGAGGGAGAATGTTTTGGACCCTTTGGGATCTTTATTTACAATGAACAAAGAAAAAAAATCAGTAACTGGTGTCTGTTACCCTGTCTGACAGAGAACAGCACTGTCAGTGCTGTCAGGGCTCCAGCTGGCAGCAAGCGAGCTCGCACAGCCAACACACAGAGGCTGGGGCTGCTCAGACAGACAAGGGAAAGGAACCAGGCTGTGCATGTCTGCATGGAGAATGATCAAGGAGTAGCTACTTCCAAACAGCCCTGCCCTGGACGTGAGTTTTGAATGCACATCCACTCATATTGTATTAATTTGTAGGGCAGTCAAAGCTGCAGTATGATTCAAAACATCAGAGCTGAAGGACAGATGTCACCACTTCTGAGACTGCTCAGGATATGTCTCTGTTCATGTCAGTGCATCTCACCAGTTGCTTGGTTCTGCTGAAATACTATGACTGTTCATACATCACATCCTAGAAAGAAACAATTTAAAATGTGTCATTCCAGTGCCATTTCAGCAGAGCATAACACCCATGGAAAAAAACAGGCAAATAATTGAGGAATCTTAAGCTCCATTATTGGCCTTGAAAAGCTCTTATTTCTTATGCTGTCTCCATAGCCTGGTGTGAAACCATGTCATACAAAAAATTGGAGGTAGTTTTTTATGGTATGCCTGGTAGGACTTTCCTGATTGGAAAGATTTTTAGATAAATTAATATATATAAACACAAAATTTAAAAGGCTTTTCAAAACATCCCTGAACCATTAATTGAAGAAGAACTTAACAGGAAAACAGGCAAACAGGAGTAACCATCTATATGAAGATAAACATACCTTACCAGGCAATCAGAAAGATTTTGTAAGTTAATTTACTGATGAGGAAAATTTAGCACTTACTGATAAAATATTTCTCCTCAATGTTTTAACACAGTGTTTGAAGAGGGAAAAATGTAGTTTTCTTCCTTTCTTCTTCCAGTTGTGATCTCCCGTGTGAAAGTAAACACATTTGGAAGGACACAAATTAGGTGAGATGGAGATTGTATTTTAGACCTCAAGGACCCAGAGTCCACAACTTCTGCTTTACCAAATCCTTAACAGAAATAATTTTGGGGGGAAAAAAACCCCAATTACTCCTGACACAACCATGCTGTAACTCTTTACCCTTAAGCTTCCCTTAATCTCGTCAATTTCTTCCAAAAATACTGATCTAAGAGGAAACATTTCTAAAAAATCTTTACAAAGTCATGTGGATGGGAGTCAGAACTTATAAAAAGTCTGAGCACCACAGCTCTCCATGAGACACTTCTGTATGCTACAGCAACAAACCTTCCAAAACAATATCAGGAAGTTATCCAGAAAGGATAATTTCTCCTCCTATCTAGAGAGCTTTGTCAAGATGAAGCTATAGTTTTTCAGGGGTGCACAGTGAAAAGACAAATGACAATGGTAAAACTGTGCAGCAAGGGAAATTCTGATTAAACATTTTAAAAAATCACCATGAGAGTGGCTTCCCAAATCAATTCTTGACTCTTCATCCATAGAGGTAGAAAGAACACCCTAAGTAACCAAATTTAACCTTATACTTAGCCATAATTTGAGCAATTGCT